GGGAGGGGGAGGAGACACGTGTTAGTCATGTCACACAGACAGCCAAAAAGCACACCAGGCTCCCTGCCCTCGTCTGTTGCTCACCATTTTAATTCCTTGAGAAGGTCTCTCAGAAACTTGGATTTCTAGGATTTTCTTTATCAGCTGGGCTGGAGACCAGGAAGCCCCAGCCATCCACACAGCTTTTTAATATGTCTTCATGACACACACCCACAGGGAAGACAGTCAGAACGAGCTCCCTGAGTCTCAACTCAAGTGGCTGAATGTGTCCCACAGGTTCTAATAAAGCAATAACAGGAAACTTCTTTTCTTCTGTCCATTCTCCACGAGCCAGATATCATATACAAATTATTACAATGCTTGGCAAACTATTTTTTTTTCAACATTTTCCATCTGTTTACTAAATGTGACCTCTTGTCTTCCGCTTCTTGCTTTACTGACTGACCATGAAATGCATCTTGTCAGTTCTCTCTTCCATTTTGCCTAGGCAGTTGTCATGTACCTGGAACACTGCTCCCCACTGCTCTGGCTGCTTTTCTCTCCCGTGGGCTCCTCTTTCCCTCTACTGGCTGCCAAGCAGAAGCACATTTATTGGCCTTGCCCTCAGACAGATGCCTGCCTTCTTCCCTTCCCCCTCTCTCTTCAGCCAACAGTCACCTGCCAAGGGCTGGTAGTTGCTGCCTCCTCTGTCCACTGCCTCGCACTGCCTCTGTTCAGCTCCCTTTTTGCAGCCTCTTCTGAAGTTCCCTGCCCCTGTTTGCCAGCCTGGCATGCCAGCAGTCTCCCTCCAGCTCCTGCAGTTCTCTGGGCTCTTTCTAGACGGCCCCCTTCCCCCTCTGATCTGCTCTCAGCACCTTCCTCTCGCCCTTGTCTGTCAGCTGTTCACCCCTGGAACCTGGAACGGGAGGGGTGGAAGTGGGGGTGGGGGTGGGGAGCTCTGCTCCCTCTTAAGGACCCTGTCTTTGGAGTCATCAAATCTGTGTGCTTACCACTCATTTGAATAGGGCAGTTTAATGCCGATTCTGAATTTGACTGCTCTCTGACCAAAAACTGTGCTGATTCCCTGAGCCTATTAGGTAGAATACAATGATCCCGGGAGATACCAGGCCACAGGATTAAGGACCCTCACAAAGTTTTTGATGGCAGGTTTGCCATCTCCAGCTTACAAACTTGATCAGCCTTGGTTACTGACCCACACCATCAAGCAACCCACAGGAACCTGGGTGTTGTTCTGTTTTCCAGCGCCAGGGATCTCTTTGAACCTCTCCAAATAAGATGCCAAATACTCTTCAAGACAGGCCTGGTCTGCTCCTCAGCTTCCAACAGGGTCCACAGACCAAGCCCCACCCAAGCGCTGGATGGGGAGGGGAGCACTGTTTTTAGATGTGAGGTTAGGGGCCGGGGAGATGTAGGAATGGATTCTTCCGGGGGTCCTAGGTATCAGATTTCTGGATGAGGGCAGGTAAAAAGAAAAAAGAGTTCATCACCAACTAGGGCCCTGCTCAAAGGCCGGGTACCTAACTCAGGGCTTCTTACAGTAGCCAAGAGGCAGCCTTTACAAGCCTTCTCCTTTAAGAAGCGCGCCTGCGTGTGTTTCGGGCCTTGTGTATCCGTGTGTGTGTGTGTGTGTGTGTGTGTGTGTGTGTGTGTGTGTGTGTGTGTGTGTCTAGGACGGAGCGTGCGCGCGCGCGTGTGTGGTTTGAGTGTGTGCACGCGCGGGCCCCCCGAGAGCATCACAGACCCCGAGAAGGAGGAGCTATGTAGATTCCGGGTGAACATTCTGGAGGGGAGCGGAGAGGAGGGAAGGAACAGCAGAGGCAGTGAGCTGGGAGCGGCGGAGGCCCTTCCCGCAGAAACTGGGGGCACCGGCGGCGTAGGAGGTGGAGGAGGCGGAGGACGCACGGGCTGGAGGCGGCGGCTGCGACTCAGCGGCGCTGGGAGTCGGAACCGCGGCTGAACTTGGGCGCCACGTTCCGGGCGACAGCAGGGTGAGGATGGTGAACACTCGCCGCCGCTGACCCTGCCTTTCCTCCGCTCCTCCCAGACTGCCTGCCCCGGCGCTGATCTCCTCCCCTGGAGGGGTGGGTGAACCTGCAAGCTCCTTACCCACCCGAGGACTTTTTTTGAAAGGAAACGAGGGAGTGGGCATTGGGAAAGAGGGAGAAAACGCAGGGGAGCTCGTCCATCCGTAGAGGCACAGTTCACTATGATCTTACTCGCATTCAGCACTGGAAGAAGGTTGGATTTCGTGCATCGTTCAGGGGTGTTTTTCTTGCAAACCTTGCTTTGGATTTTATGTGCTACGGTCTGCGGAACGGAGCAGTATTTCAATGTGGAGGTAAGAGTACAGAGCTTTCTTCCTCTCCCCTCGGCTGGCTGCTCGCTGGAACCTTTCCTTCACTCGTCGGATCCTTGCATCTTGGAGCACATTGTTTCCCTTGCAGCCAGCCACCAAAACCCTTGTTGAGTTTGCCAGTGTTGTAGGTGATGGATGCCTGGAGACCGACAATCCGTTATCCCCAGCTGCACAAAGCACGAGGTTGCACGCGCAGAGACTCATTGTAGCATGCTGGTGCTGCTTAGCCAGGGAAGAGGCAAAGCTCTATCTAGAACAAGCGTGTAGCTTTATAAGAAAGCTTGAGTTTATACTGGATACACAGCTAGGAAACAGCATTGATGGCTGGCATCATGTGCCGCCTGGGTATTGTTCCTGCAATATTTCTCCTTGTGGTCTGTGCCTAACAAAGGGAGGATAAAAATCAAAGAATCCAAAGAGAGCATGGGAATACTTGATATGCTTAATAACATCACTTCGTGATAAAACACTCGAGCAGGCAGTGTCTTTCTATTAGACATAACTTAATACACTTGTAACTAGATCTAACTGTACTGAGCACATGAAATCCATCGCCTTTAAGTGCCTGCTCTCTCCCTTCCCAGGGGGGCTGGAAATAAACGTGGCCCCGTCTAATAGTTCGGAGGTGTGTTTTTAATTTGAATTCACACTGACACGACAAAGCCTAGTTGTCTTAGATTGCCATTTGTTTTACTGTGATCATTTTGGGAACAAACAGCAGAAGCAATAGGGAACTTAAGGATAAGGACTTGTCAGACCTTTGCCAAAGCGCTCTCTTCCTGTCATCAGCTGAGCACTAAAGCTAGTCATGTGCAGTAAATCAATGAAAGGCGTGCACACCTGGGCTGTGACACAGTTCCTTCCATTAACCTTACACTTAAGGTTGACACTGTGGGAGGGTCTGGGTAAAACAAACTTCTCCTGATTAGCTACCATGGCTTCATTATATCTCGAAAGAATTAAGACCGAAACTGCATTGATTGGTGTGATACTTGCATTGTTGTCTTGAAGCTTCCTGTTGTGGTGTTAGGAGCTTATGTTTATACAATAGCAGGACCTGTTGCACAGGGTTTGAACATGTTTCATGCAACCAATTTATAAGCAAAGTGTTCATAATAAGTGCCATGTGTGCAGGCAGAGGCTTCTAGGGACTGTCCTTTGGACTCCATATAATGGGGCAGAAGCAATGTATTTGAAAAAGTAAGCGCCATCATCACAGGGATTAAGGAAGTTTGCAGATGTTAAGTAGGAATCTGTTTCAAAGAAACAACAATTTGAAAACCAAAATAGTTTAACCCTTTGAAGCACAGAGCTTGATATTTCTGCCTGAAAACAGCGACGGAAAGAAAGGTCCAGACTTTTCATGATAGCCAATTTGAACTTTCTGAACTACATGCCACTATAAGTTTTGTACTAACATTTAAATCAAGAGATAATTTAATTGAAATAAAGGAGTTATGGATTCATAGGCTGAAGGAATGAAAATGGCAAGCTGTAGTTTATAATGCTATATAGAGAAGGGGCTGTTGCTTGGTGGGAAAGGAGACTGTGGTGAGGGGTGAGGGGGAGGATGTTAGAGTAAGTGCTGGCTAGCATCTGGCTTCCTGTGGGAATCTGAGCCTGGGTGGATAGCTACCTGCTTTGGGAAACTAACTTACATTTACAAGATGGAATGACATGACTGTTTTGATGATTATTAGGTTTGTTTTGTGAGACTAAATATAGATTAGATTCTATTTCGTTATGTTGGAATCTCTCAGTCAGTTCAACCAGATATTGTTACCTGAAAGAGGTTGAGGCATTTTATAAAAACGATTTCATATTGAATTTCAAATATCTCTTTCTGTCTTTCAAGATTTATGTGGTTCACAGAGCCACTTTCCCATTTTGTGGGGATATTTGAGTTTTTCCAGCCATGTTTATTGCACAATGCAAAGATTTATCTGACAGATGAAAGAGTCATGTGCTCTCTGAGACCTTAGTAAGCTTACTTAACACAAAGAGAATTTTTCTAATGATTTATAGGAGATTGTGATACACAGTTTGTATTACTTCCAAGTCCCTTTGGATGCTCTTGAGCACTTCTTTGGTTGGATTTCTAAGCATATGTGTGTATATATATGTGTGTATATTTATGCATGTATGTATATATTCTATATATTACAAGTAGCTGATAGTAAATATACAACTAGCTGTTAGTGAAATCAAAATATTATACAGAACATAAGATAATAGGACATATCTGACTTGTGTTTATACCTGATGAAAGTTGAGTAGATATTGCTTTCTAATAGGAAATGCTAAAGGGAAGAATGTTCCATTATTTCTTTTCTAGGAGAAAAGAAATTGTGCTCTAGTCTTGGTTGCAAAACATACATACTGAGGTTGTTTTATTCCATTGATTCTCAAAGGCAAAAGAAAAGCAGTAATATCATCAAACATGCTTGAGGCTCATAGAATCCTGATTTTTTTAAGTTATTAAGTTGGACCAGCACTTTGGAGATATGCCTTTTATGCTGACAACTAAGATTGCAATGCTTTATTCATTGCAGAACTTAATTTGTGATTCTCCCATAGTTTGTCTGTATGATTTAAGGTTGAAAAACCTGTATTTTTTTTCCTGTAGGAGGGGTTGGGCAGAGATATTCATGTTAACTCTATCCGGTTTGATTTTATTTTAAGAAAATAAACATTTAAGAAAAATAATATTTTTAAGAAAATAAACATTCCACTTTCAAAATAGATGCTAGAAAAATTTTGATATTCTTATGAAAGCCAACGGTAAAGGGATATTTTTGAGTTTTTGAAAAAGGAAATGAAGTATGTATTAAATAAAGAAACAGATCCTATCAAAGGTAGTACTATGGATAGATCCCCTGCATTTCTCAGCCCCTCCTTAAGTTGTAGGTGAATATTCATTCACTGAAGTCTCTCTGTATCCTCGAAGTGGGAATAGTGTAAGTCACCTCATTAAAAAGGAGTAGCATGACTAATATTAACCGAAAGTCAAAAACTGCTGTCATTGGACAGTCTGAAACTGAGATAAATTATTAACAATAAATTGTGATTTTTTTCCTACAGTTTTAAAATCATTTTATTCTTAATGTCATTCCCAGGAACTGGAGATTTTCATGATTCTGGGGCTTATTTTCGGGGTGCACACATTTTTTGTTATGAAATTTGAAATACATTATAGTTCATGATGACAATAACTTATCAACTTTTACAGCATGTCATATGTATGAACATTTCTAGATTGATTTTCAAACAATAATCCATTTTTGTTAAGAGGGAAACCATTTAAAGGCAGCTTTATGGTAAAAGTAAACCATGTAAAACTGAATGGTGCATAGAGCTAAGTGGAAGATGATGATTATGGTTTTTGGGGAAAACAATCTTACTGAGGCAAAATTGGATTTCCTTATATCAGGAAAAAAAGATTACATATGCCATATGGATAATTTCTTGAAAGAGTTGTGCATTGTAAGTGCAACTCTTTCTTAAATTTTCATGTAGTTTGTTTATATAACAGGTTGTTACCTGATCAGTGTTTTCAGGTTTGTCTGATCTATTTAAAAGGTCAAAGTTTCATTTGGATAGCTATGTACTGCATTTGACATTGCCAGTAATTCATTATGAGATGTTTTAAGATATAAAAGCACTTCTATTTTATAGATTTAAAAGTACTGTATGTTGAGATGCTTCTTTTCTTATTTCTTGCTTTCTGTTTGCTTAAATGTTCAAGACTCATTATTTAATTAGCTCATAAAAAATATGTCCAGCTCTAACCTCTACCTACAGCATACCATAAGTCTGTGTCAGAGCAGTTATAGGTGATCTGCAACAAGATCCCTGTGATTAATTCATAAATGTGTGTATCTGCTGTGGGATTGTAGGCTGAACGAGACACTCTATATGTGCTGGCCATTTGAAATGTTTCAGAGGGCCTAAATCTATAACCAGAGGACCAGGAGTTAACAGTCCAAGGCTCTCCAGCTTCTCACTTTGGCTCTGCCATTCTCTCTGGAAGTTGCCTAGACAGGTTTTGTCCAAATGTAGAGTTCTTTAGGAAGCCCTTCTGAAGGCATACAGACTAGGGAGGCACCTTTGTCCTGACATCACCTAGAAAAGTCCACTGAGACCTACAGATCCATCTCTGCCTGTGCAGCAGGATTTTCTTTTTGAGACCCTTCTAGAAAATAAATACCAAGTTAGATTCAACAACCACTTTGTTACCTTTAAAGTCAAGTTAAAAGTGATGTATTGAAGTTTCTACTTTTTTCTCCTACAGAATATGTAGTTGCTAAGTAGAAAATCTTAATGAACTTGTTCAGATTAATACTTATTTTTCTAAAGTTGGATTAGTGTTATTACATGTTAATTTATTTCATTTTGAGACCCTCTGCAGCTACTCACAATGTACATGTTCTGAAGACTTGTAAACGACTAATTAGAAGTTTTTCAGGCCCAAAATGAATATCCATGACATATTTGACTCCATGTGTTGGATTTATTCAGTGTTGGAAGAGAAAGATTTATTTCCTCATGCTCCTTTGGGGATTTTCTGGCCCCTTTGCCTGTGAATTTTCAATTGTCATAGTTCCTTTACTCACTACTTTTCACTACATTTTATTTCAGTATCTGTGGATGTAATTATGTCGATCACATTGCCTTTTGTGGAGTTATGTACTTATGAAGAGCATGTATCCTGACACGAGATTTCCTGGTTTCTATCTAATCCCATTGGTTCTGTTGGAGCACTCATCATGCTCTGAAGACTCAGCTCACATATTTGAGAGATGAGGATACTATTTGCTTTATAGCTTGTTTTGGTGATTGAATGAATATATGCATGTATATTGTTGGATTCATTTCCTTGCATGATACTCTTTAGATATCATTTTTACTAGTTTTAAATCAGTATTAATACATAAGACATTGACATGATGGCAATAAATTACATGATAGTCTATCAGGTTAGA